CCTCTTCCTAACTTCATATGTATTTCCACTTGAATTACTGATCCCCTGCCTAATCAAGTACACTGTATCACCGCGTCATCTCACCCTTATGTTCTTTGTGTATGATATTGCATATCTGCACCTCTTGAATCTAATTCAGAAGCAACAACACTGAGTGAAATATAAGCAGCAGAGTCCTGCTCTCATTAGCAGAAATTATATCTGGCTACTGCTGTGACCTTACTTACAAGAACATACAATTTACTACACCAAGTTGGACCATTGTTCCTTCCAGACCAATACCCAGCTTCAAAGGATGGCAAAAAATCCATATCTCAATACCTGCGCAATCTTGCAATTCACCAAATGGAGCAAAAAACCCTTCCTTCATCTCTGCAGTGAGCAGCTGATATTTTCAAGAAGGGAATTTGATCTTTCCCTTTTCTCTTTGTATGTCCTAATGCAACATGCACCCCTGACACTCTTGAGTTTCAGGCATGCACCTCCATTTTTTGCAGGCTGTGGAGGGGCTTCGCTGACCCCCTCGGGCCATCAGCAGACCTCCTTGAAGAGCAGCTCACGGAGCACCCAGGTGGCTCAGTGCAGCTGGGCCATGATGAACATCCAGGTTATTCTGAAATCAGCCTTAGCTGAAGCCAGGTGCAACTTAAGACAGTTAAGAGGCAATACAAACTTCTCTTCCAGAAGCCAAAAGAAAGCTGTCGCTAATCTGTAGGAAGGATGAACAGAAATTAAAAGTAACAGCTCACTTATCCCTAGCAACCTTACATCCACTCCAGAGGCTTTGCTAGCCCTGTATAATCCAGCAGATAGTAAGAGCAGCACGTTACAGCCTTTCTGGCTGATTTATGTGTAACCTTACATCCTCGGGCTGTGCTCACAGGAGAAAATCTGGACGTGAAAACTCTCACTGCCTTTTATAGCCCAAGTCCACCTTGGGAATTATTCCCATTCAAATCCGACCCTTTGTATCCCCAAACCGCTTTGCTAGCCCTGTATAATCCAGCAGATAGTAAGAGCAGCACGTTACAGCCTTTCTGGCTGATTTATGTGTAACCTTACATCCTCGGGCTGTGCTCACAGGAGAAAATCTGGACGTGAAAACTCTCACTGCCTTTTATAGCCCAAGTCCACCTTGGGAATTATTCCCATTCAAATCCGACCCTTTGTATCCCCAAACCGGCAGCCAGTACCCCATACTGGAAATGCTGACTCTCTTGATCCTGACCTGGTTTGGTTCTCACTTGCCCAGATGACAAACTGAGTCAGTGAATAACCGCACAAGCCCCCCGCCATTTACCCGCTCTGAGGCACAGTGTCCCTTTTTCTTCAACTGGGCAATGGTCAAAAAATCAGAGTAAAGCTTTCCTGCAGGTAAATATAAGTTACTTTCTAATTGTGTGTTACCTGCTCACATAACAAATCAGTGCAAGTTCCTCTTTACAAGCTCTCATTGGAGATCAAGCACAAGGATAACCAGGCACTTGGAGGTAATTGTTTGAAGGGAGCATAAGTAATAAATCATGCAAATTACTTTCAGTGAACAGATGAAACGACTGAAATACCTTCAGGGTTTGTAGAAGTTAGTCAGCCTGCGCATAACTATAACATCCCTTCTGGCTGCAGTATCAACATTTCTCTACCTGCAGCTGGAGAATTTAAGCACAGCTTTTGCAAGTAGAGAAAAAAAGGTCTGTGTCATCGAAGCAGAGGGATCCACGAGTAGGGCGCTCTGCTCTGCCTCCTCACCAGTTCTCATACAGCGTGTTACAATATTTGAAATCAGCCATGGATCAGATGTTACTGGGAAAGACAGACAGAGGGACAGACAACCTGTTTCTATAAATGTTTCCATAGAAAAGACAAGCTAAAAATGACTGTGCTGTAATGAAGGAGTATCCTGAGTCTAGAATAAGCATCCTTGATTGATAGGTAAGTTGGTGTAAATTACCTAGAGCTGGAGACTTAGTCCTGAAGAAATTAGGTTTGGAAAAGACGTATCATCTGGTGCTGGAATCAAAAGCCTCTGACTTGGTTACCTCCAACTGCACGTGGGAGGATTTTGAAAGGAATGCAGCAGGTCTAGGAGGTGTGATTTTTTGGAAAAAGGCTTACGCATGAAGAAGTGGCTCCTACTTCCTCATGCTACCTGCCGCTTTCCAGTTCAGCAAGTGCCAGACGTCTTGCCTTGCAGGGGTCAGGCACAGCTGATCGGTAGCGTGCTGTTTCTTTGAGAGGCAGCAGCTCTTAGCTTCAGCTGAATTAGCGCTTGCCCGCTTACCCTCTAATATGGGAAAGAAAAATCCTTCCTAATGCATTACCATGGAAAGGCTGCCAGGCCCTGCTCTAGTCGACTCTTCATGCCAATGAAGTGTTGCTCTCTAAAGCTTGTTGTTTGGTGTTCAGTAGAAACTGGTTCTGAATGTCCAAAGCAGTGGGATTTCCTCTCCTGGAAAGTATCGCAATACAGAGACTACATTTCACATTTTCAAACATCACTCTTATTTATCTCTTTATTGTACTAAACAAATCCTCGGTTTGCTTTATGATGATGCCATCTAAAAAGATAGAGGGATACAAGGTGGGATTCATCTCACCTAATTTTCATCACCTGAAACCTGGGCATCTACTTAAAGCTTATCATCCTCTACGTGACCTCTTTTGCTAATGGCAAGAGAGGAGCCTCTCTGGGGTACTAGTCAACCTGTGGATGGGGTGAATTGCCTGCCAGAGCCACGGCTACCTTAGACTAATGATGTAACTTTTACGTATCTGAAGTTACTCACTGTTTTGGGGAGTTGTCAGAAACCTTTTTAAGATGGCTTTGAATCCTCCTTTCCCCCTTCTTATTGCTGCTTGTGAAATGGATACCCTCGCTTGAGTCAGCATCTGTGACACCAACTACATCCTCTCTTCGGCAAGATCCTATTTTAAGCTTTCCATCAGAGGCCACAGCTATTTGTGTCATTGTCAAAACTCTTCAAAAGGTCCGGTGACATTGATGGTAGGTCTCTTAGAAGCCAAAGGTTCTGCAGTAACATAAATATCAGGATCAGCAGCACTAAGCGCAGGTGAAAGAAAAGCCAGCTGCACATCCTTTCTGTCTCCCTTGGCAACAGCATCCTGCCAACAAAAACTGCTGCCAAGTAAAGGCTGGAAAGGAAGGGATGTGCATTTGCAAAGCTGGGGCTGGACGAGCTTTGTGTGAGGGGAGAGCTGTCAGACCAAGGAATGCTCGTGTGCTTTTAAAATTATTTTTGGTTTGTTCCATGTGTTTTTGGACAAGGGAATGCATAGAGCCTCTGTCCTTGTGAAGAGTTTTCATCTGAAATTCCAAATGATGGTCTTTGCAGTTTTGAGCCATATGTTTCCATCCATGACAGCACACAGGGAAGAAATCTGTTGTGAGTTACTACATACAGATGTGGCAAATCCTCCAGCAAAGGTTAAAATACGTGGCATGGTTCTCTTGTTACACCAGCTGCAGCTTTGTGCTAAATCATTGTTTCAGCAGCAAGCTCTTAATCAGCCCCGAGTTCCAGAAACTGCTAAACAAGCTGATATTTGTAAGGACCGATGTTTTTTATAATGCACTAAATATCTTTATTTAGAAAAACCTTCAGACTGGAAACAGCAAGGGTGAAAAGTGAACTGCAAATGGCAGGGAGAAAAGGAGCATCAGCACGAGAGCACAAAAATGCAAAGATCTAAGATTATTATTTGTACTCTGCCTTTCCATGTCCTCCATGAAATGATCATGGCTGTGAAAACAGAGTTTGTCTAACTACGGGTAAAATATACTTGTGATATAATATATGCACCTGCCATATGACGCTTTCTGATAGGGACTTCAGTCCCTGAAAATCAGCACTGTCGGAGGCCCCATAGCTGCTAGTGCTGCCGAATCTCAAACTTATCGTCACAGCATCGTTCCTTTCTGATTTGGCCACAGGGTCAAAAAAGAAGTCTGGCTGCAACATGTTTGTATCCAAGGCCTGAAAAAAGGAGGATCTTCTCACCTGGTATGCTAAGAGCAGAGAAGGAGCTGGCTTTTCTCTCTAGCAAAATATTAGGAATGAATTTTGTGAGGACCCCTTGTAACAAACTGCTTCGGCGGTTGTAGCACCCCTGGATACAACAGGGACTCTGAATCAAAGACTGAGCAGTGGGGATTGCCCTCTGGCTGCTGGGGGATTCCTACACTGCTCTCAAGAAGCCCGCAACTTGTTGCTCTCTTACCATTTCCCCGTGCCTTTTGAGGGATCGGTAGTTGGCTGCACAGGGCACATTGTTGTGCTCTTTGGGCAGTGTGTTCTTCCAGACACCCAGCTGTGCCGGAGAGAAAGAGAGAAACAGAAAGAAGAAGAAAAGGAAGAAGGGAGGCAGGGTTATGGCTTAAGGAATCACAGGATCTGTGGACTTCTTTATGGTTACAAAGTAGAAATTGCCCATTCACCACTGAAGAGTGAAGAAATAAAATACAGAACATGCGTTTCGATGCCAGGGAAGGAGAGGGAGAGAAGATGATCGCTATTTCATTCCCCATATTTTCCTCTGACAGGAATATTAATATCATTAGAGATAATTGAATGAAGTGGAAGGTCTGGTGGAGGTACAGAAGCAGGAGGTAGATCTGTAAAATCCGTCCACACACAAAAAGCTAAACGCTGCGCTGGAGGGAGGGCACTCTGCCTCGAAATAGGGACTGAACAGCCTCACAAGGACGTGCAGCTGGGGTGCTTGTTGCTGTTTTGTTCCCAGAAAACGAGAACTGCCAGCAATCCTCTGGCATCTGAATAGACCCGTGTCAGACAAACTGTATCTGGACTTGATGGGAAACCAAGCTGGAATACCAAGCAGCCTTTCGATCTGCTGGCAGCGAGGGGGACTGGCTCAGTAAGTAATCGTGCCTTGCAGTTGCAAAGGTACTCCATAAAGGAGCGAGCCCTCTCGCTGCACAGCCCTGCAAGACACGCCTGCCTGGGCTGTCTCTGTCCTCATTCCTCCAAACCAGTTCCAACAATAACAGCAACTCCTGTGTGCAGCTGCCTCGTTAGGGAGAAGATGTATTTTTCCTTTTTCTACTGAGGGATGAAGCTTCCAAATCTGTGTGATGTGAGCAGGTGAGGATGTCTGCTGACAAGTCCAAATGATATTTTCAGGTAAGTGATTACCTTGAACAAGCAGCTAGAGTCAGGCTCTTTCTTTTTATTACCCTGCTCCCAGTAATTACTGTTGTCCTAGTTTGTCAGTAAGCCTTTTCACAAGGTTCAACAGCTCAGATGTCTGCGTATATTTAGCTGAATAGGGGATCTGAAGCATTTCTAAAGCACCTATTCCCATAGTAGAGACTGTGAGTCTCTAGTGCAGTGTGAGAATGAATTGGGAGCTGCCTGCTCTGTGACTACACAGCACTGTCCTATTTGTATCACCCATTGTTTAACTCCCTGGAGGATCAGATATGCATTTTGATTTACAGGCTCACTCTCTCGAAGTCTGTGATGGAAGTGCATCTTAGAGGCAATAATAGTGTTCTGCAATGTTTTTATATCATTAAAGGTCCGGGACGTCTTGCCACATGAAAACTGTAGCTACTGTTACTGTTGTTGCACAGGGAGTGTCAGCGAGTACTGCTTCATTTGTGTTTGTACATGTGATTTCCAGAGCTTCTGCTGATGCTGTTTTATGTTACTGCAAATAGAGCTGTTACTGTGTGTGTCTCATCCCCTGCATTTTACCAAATACCTTGTGTATTGAAGTTTGGGTTGATCACCCTGACTAATACTTACAAGGGAAAACAGGCAATAACTTGTAAGTTAATATCTGGGAGTTCTGGCATGACAGCCACTGATAGACAGGCAGGGAAGAGAAATTTTCTATGCAGAGTAACCTACTTTCTCTTCCCTCAGTTCTGCCACCAATCATAGAGATGAAATTTGCTTAACTCTTTGTTTGTACAAGGGCTGCTTTATTGTGAGTGAAAATCATATTGCTTTGACAGATTACAAAGAAATGACCATAACAAAAGTAATAATATATACTTTCTGCACAGTTTCCATCTATTAAAGATTCATTTTGCTCCCTGTAACATTTTAGGTTTGCTGAGAGACACATGAGAAGATAATAGTGTCATGAAGAAAGCTTTCGTTACAACAACACAAACATTGCTGTTGCTTTGAACAGGTTTTGCACAATCTTCTCTCACTCTTAGTAAGTCAAGACTGTTAAAAGCACGGAGAGGCTTCAGCAGCCCGTACACTGCCCATGCGCACCCAAGCCCTGGGTCTGTAGGTAATGGGTCCTTTGTAGGTCGGCTCCCTTCGCTTCCCTTGCCCACGGCAGTCTGAAATAATGAGTCCAGCAGTAGGTCTCTGCACAAAAAGCTCTTCCTGACTTCCTAGAGCAAAAACGTTTGCCAAGTACTGCTCAGGTGGCTCTGTTTGTCTTGCTGCAAGGTCCGAGATAGCAGAGGCCGGAAGGGGTCAAACGCCAGACTGAGCTCGTTGTGCACATTCATCTGCTGTAGAAAATGTGAATGTGCAGCTCAAAAGTTTCCACTGTTTCTCTGGCAATTAGGACTTGGTCCAAAGCCCGCTAAAGTCATTGGGAACCTTTCCACAGGCTTTAGGTCTGAAGTTACGTAAGTTTGTGTTGTTTAAGGGGTGCCCCGGGGGGGCTGAACGCCTGAGCTGACTCGACAGCCGCATGCCTGCTCTGCCATGCCATGCAAAAAGGCTGTTCTCGAACTGCCCGTGAAGCGTCCCGTGCAGCACCAGGCGGTATTAACTCCTAAATGAAGCCTTTTATTGTTGTCCTGTGCCAGGACACTGGCTCCTGGCGGGGGCTCCCGAGGTCCTGAGATCAAACAGTCAAGGAACGTCAGCTGCTGGGGCCCGAATTGCTTTGTTTTTCTGGTTTGGAGGGAGGCAGTTCTGCCTCCTGCCTGCAAATAAAAGGGTCGTGAGGAAGTTCCCAAACGGTAGGACCCTGCGGATTTCATAGTCTGGGAAAGCAAAATATTCCTACCCCCTGACTTTTCTGAGACGCACTGAGGACATCAACCGCGGTCTTTTAAAGCATTGCTGTAAAGGAACTCCTTCATTTTCTTCACGTACACAACAGTACACACCATTTCTGGACTCCTTATACGAGTGTACGATGGGAAGAAGCGCTGCAGGGAGATCCTGTTGAGATTTGAACCGTTGCACCATGTTGTCAGGAAGGAGTTTTTATGGCTAAATGCACATCGGCACCCATTGTGTACACTCTGCTGTCACTCTGCTGTGCTTTATCCTTGAGTTAGTTCATTTTGTACTTAATATTCCCTTCTTGGTGCACTATGCAAGACCACAGGATGACACAGAGACCTCAGGTCAATCAGCCTTCTCATTAGGGTTGAATGGTTTTAATGTAGTCATAAAATTAGACTCCAAAAGTGGGAATTTGACACACAGCATTTAAAAGCCAAACCAGTTTGACCCCTTCTAAGCATGAGCTCCTATACCTTAGAAATGGCCCCTTACAAAAAAACTTAATGGTGTGATCTGACCTTTGAACATAAAATTAATTATTATTATTTGCTATAACGTTCTTACATCAGTCTGTATTACCGTTATGCCAGCAGATAGTAAGGACTGCCAGTCCTTACCCCAAAGGGCTCACGCTCTAAGTAAGATCAGTCCTAAGAGTCTTAGGCAGCCAAAACTGAAGGGTTTTGGCAAAGAAGAGCTGTAGGACTGCGCTTTGAACTGACCAAGAGCGTCTGCTATGTACCATCTCACCTGGGATATCAAAACTTTGGCCGTGACAACTTGATAGCAAGCAGAAGATTTCCTTTCTGTGGTAGTCTGATTGAGGGTAAGCTGAGCTATGGGGGGATGGCTGGTGGCGTACCCACCATGGCCCTTTTCTCAATGTGGGTGTGTTTGTGAAGCAGAGACAGAGGTTGGGAAGGGAAGAAATTTGCAGGGTTGGTTAAGTCCATTTCTGTGACAAGTGCCTCCTGTGCCTTGGTAGAGGAATTCAGAATATCATTTTCCTAGGCTTAAGCCAAAGTTGCCAAACAGGGCAGTCTAATATCAGGGACCTCTAATAAGAGTCCCACTTTGTAAGACATTGCATATCCCTAAGTGATAGAAAAGTGAGCAGGAGCTTTGGGCAATCTGGTCACCGCAAATCCAGCCAGAGCATGCTTAGGTGATGATGCAGAGTATCTGAAAATACCAATTCCAGCTTTACTTTTGCTTTGCAGTTGGCTGTTGAACAATTATAAAACAATAAATTCTACTTAAAAGGGCCAGCAAAGCCCACTGTGAAGTCCTTATTATCAGCTAGTTCTCCCTAAATATACAGCACTGGCTATTTTTACAATTACCTACTAAGCTGAATATTTTTTCTGTAGTTAGGGGCACAGATTAGCTCTGGTTGTCACTGAAGGAGTTACTGTGGTCCATTCAACCAGTAAAAAAGTCCTAAGAAGCTGTAGCTTATGGGGCCACGGTGGGTCTGCAGAGACTGTTAAGGGAGTCTAGCAGATGAGCAAAACCTGACTGCCACAGCCTGAGACAGCCAAATGTCATGGGGGTTATTGTTTATTGTCAGATAAATTACTTCTGATGTAGTATTTCCTTCGAGTAATTATTCATACTTTACAAGCCACCTAAAGGTACTAGCTTAATGCATCTGGCTTTCCGTGCCTGCTGTGTGGTGACCTGCTACCACAACAGACTGCCCCAGAGAGCTTATAAATCTTTACAGCAGCAAGCTTCTGATTTATCAGTATTTCAAGAAGTGGGGATGGATGTTAAGTAGGTTTTTAGCCAAAGATCAGGGTTTCTAACCCCAGGGCACAATATGCAGAAAAGCTGACAACTTTTTTATTCCTTAAGGAATATCCTGGAGAAGAACATTAACCCAATAGAGATGTTTTTCTGCGCGTGAGGTGTGAGAGGGAGTAGTTGCACAAAGAACATCCAAAAATTTTAGCAGGCATTACAATCATTATAATCTAGTATCTCATAAGATCTGCCAATGCACTTTATCTTGTGTGCTCAGAACAGCAGGCCTAAACTTTCCTGAAACATTATCTCCACACACCAAATCCAAAATAAATCGTCATCCTTTCCTCTTTGAATTTGTTCTGTGGCAGCAACTTGTCTTGGCATGAAATATTAGCCATATGGACACTAGAATATCTGCTTTGACCTTGACCTCAGAATAAGTGCTGCCAAAAATGTGAAGATAACTCCTGCCTTTCATTTCCAAGAGTGATGCTCCACGAGTGTAGCACGATCTGCTCTCCTGGTTGCATCTCAGTGTACAGAATATGTTTTTTTCTTTGACTAGGTGTTCTGCTAAGAGCATATTGTCTGTGGCTGGCTAGGAACTGGGAAGCGGTATCCCAGACAATGGTTTATTTGGCAGAGATATTTATTTCAGAAATTAAAAAAAAAAAAAGAGCTAATTTTAGCATCAGGCAGTGGAAAATGCATTGCTTGTAATCGGCTCTCACTACGTTATCCAGTCAGTGTTTTCATCTTCTGGATACTCTGCGAAGTAACAGGAGGCTGCTGGGGGCAAGATGAGGTGAATTTTGTTGGTTACAGAGCTCTGCGCTGTTCTGGTTCAGAAATGATGGTTAGTGATCAAAGTAGAGCATTTAGCTGGGTGAGAGGAATAGGGCTGCTCCTTTGGTGAGTTTTGCTATGCGTATTGCACTGATTGCGAATGGATGTGAATGATGCACAGGGTTCAGAGTAAACACATTTCATGGCATTTGCATCTGCCCAACGTGCAACAGAGCCCTAGGGCCCAATGGATACCTAATCAGAGATCTTCTTTCATTTTCCCAAGACCCCGTCTTCCTTTTCTGCTGGTGCCCATAACAGATATTCCCAAGTAGGGTAGAACTAAATGGCATAACAACGCTCACGGAGAAAGCTGGCAAGCCTGGGAAGGGTGGAGAAGGGGGCAGGAAGGTACTCCACAGTCTTGGCTGGCAGGTGATCATTACCCAGTTTGGAGTCGTGCAGCTTTGATGAACTCGTGTCCCTGATTTGTTAAGACTGTGACAACATTTTTCACCGTGACACCGCTGGTTGAAATTCACGCTAGCACAGTGCTGATGGTGCCATCTGACGATGCTCAGTGGACTGTGCAAAATGGATTTATTCCGTGTGCTTCCTAGTGGGCAGGGATCCACATTACACTCGACAGCTTCAACATATGGAAATGGTGACGTGTGATTGATGTGGTCCCTGCAGGTCACGCTAACTCACGGTGTATTAGCCCTGCATCCCAGGGAGGTTTATGCTACTGCAGCTGCCCACGTCCATTATCTGGACTAGGAGTAAATGGAAGAATTGATGTTCCCAGCGGTGTGAATCTGGCACCTCATGAAATGATGTGCGCTACAGAGGGTGGCAGAAGGCAGATTTCACACAGTCCAGTCCCACAGCACGTGTGAGCACAGAACAGGTTACAACCAACATTTGTATATGGGTGCGAAGGGCAGTTGTGTTAGATTGAGTCAGACCCCCTAATAATCACGTGGCTTTTTAAAACAGCTGTGATAGCTATGTTTTCTTGTTCATTTTTAACATTTGGAGATTTTCCACATCTCATACTCTAAAATAAGTGACTAGATTTTCCGAAGTTGCTAAGTGAAGGACAGCATGTACAACCCCGGAAGCCCTCTCATCAGACATCCCTTCTTGACCTAATTTTCATCAAGGGCTAAGCAGCTGCTCTCTCAAAAAACAGATTGCTTAATGGCATCCAGGACTGGAGGCAGCCAAATTTAGGATTTTGCAGCCAAAAGAATGAGCGGACTAAGGTTCCCCATAACGATGTGGACATTCATCTGAAGGCCTCCTGGCCAAAAGAAAAATGAAAACGTCTTTTGTTTCTACCCCGAAAGAGTAGGATGCTTTGTAGCTTCTACAGGGAAGTCACCTGCCTATGGCACTTTAGGTGGTGCTTTAAAGCACTCTCCTGAGTCCCTACTGCAAGCTCCTCTCTCCCTTTGCTGCAGAGATTCCTTGCAACCTTCCCGTTCCCACCTCACCGCTCCCACGGCCCTGCGGCCACCGCAGCCCCTGCAGATTTTCCTTTCTCTTCCTACTTTGCCAGAGAAGCCGACAAAGTGGGATGCTAACTCTTCTGTCCTTCTGCAGAACATGGAAGGTATTCCTTCCTTCCAGACGCGCAAGCCGTGCCATTCCCTGTCCGCTGGTCCCTCCCTGGTCTCTCACCCTCTCTTTGTGTTTTTTCCTCCAGGTGTTCTACTGATCTTGGCACTGACAGAAGAGCTGGTGTTTTCTGTTCAGGTACTGTCTCCCACTGTCTCCTCCTCTCAGGGCTTCCCGATGGACACTACCACTATCACAGCCATGGGAACAACACCTCGCCACAAAGACCCCTTCCCACGTCCGCTCGCGCCATTCCCCATCCCGTCAGCCTGGCGGAGAAAGCCCCTTCCACCGGGCAAAAGCAAGCGAGCGGCCCTCGCGTCGGCGAAAAGGAAACGTATCATTTATACAACCAGAGTGCTTTGTACTCGGGACAGACTCGCCCCAAGGGGAAAATATTCCAGGTTTTCAAAGGCAACTTCACAGAGTCCTCAGAGCCTTACCTAAAGACGACCCTGCACTCTCCCTTCCCCACCCTGAGGAGCCCTTTCACAGACCACCCGTTTCAGTCCCAGGCCGCAGCGTCCAGCGATCCGAATGGCACGGGGCTGGCAAGAACTACACACTCAGACCCTTCTCCCCACCGCAACGCCTCGGGAAGCCTTAGGGAAGCAGAGCGAGGGGACGGGGCCGAGCTAGTGGTGCAGGAGGCAGATTTTGCCACCACAACTGCTGGACCATCAACTGATCCTGAAGCAGTGTCGGTGCCTTTTAAACCCACCCGCTACAGCGTATGGGATATGCTGAGCAAAAACAACTCTTGGGTAACCTTGAATCTCAGTACAAATGTCCCTCTCTTTGCTGGCCCTGGATCTGCAACAGCAGCAGCGGGTCACTCGGTTCAGACCAGTTTTGACGTCAGCGTCTCCTCCCCGGCAGCGGGAGACCCCAAGGGACCCGCTCCAACGCAGCACGGTGCGGTGACTAACGCGACCTTGCTGGGCAGCGCTCTCTCCGCCGTGCCTGCCACGAGGTTGTCCAGCTCCATTTCCACGGCTGGCTCCACCGCCACCGGGAACTTCCTAAACAGACTGGTTCCTGCCGGAACCTGGAAACCCGGGGTGCAAGGAAACATCTCCCATGTCACCGAGGGGGACAAACCCCAGCACAGAGCAACCATCTGTCTCAGCAAGATGGACATTGCCTGGATCATTCTGGCTATCAGCGTACCTATATCCTCATGTTGTAAGTTAATTGCTGCTTTATTTTGCTTTCTCTTTCCTTAAAATTCAGGTTTCGGCCCATGATTCAAGGACCAGGTGGAGAGCTGACAGAGGCAGGGTGGCTTGAGATAGAAGAGAAGCAATCACTAGACACATCACAGAGATCACATTCACTGACCAAAGTGCTTAGCTTCGAAATGCAGGGCTGAAATGTTTACACTCAAAGCATACTTGGTCTGTTGCTATTAGAAATCACTTAGTCTTTTTGAGCCCTCCGTTTGAGGGTGTAACACAAGGCTGAACAACTCTGGAAGGCGAAGCAGCTTTACTTCAAGGCATTTAAGCTGGTGACCAAAAATTGTACAAGTCTTTAAGCTAGGAACCGCTATATGCTGCCCTGGAATTGGATTTTAAAAGCCCACTGCTAACCCAAAGGTTTGATGACAGTTGTAATGACTAATACCTTAGGAAACACCAGTTTTCCAGCACAATAAAATATTTCATTGCAGGCAGTTTGTCAACTATCAGATTTTAAAGTCTGGGGCAGGTTGGGTTCCCAGAGCTGGCTTAGGGTCTTGTCATTTGACTCAGTTACAAAAAAAACGTGAGAAATTATGAAAAAGCTTGTGAGTGGATGCCGGGGTGTCCCCTGCTTAGCTGGGTTATATCAGCAAAGCGGGACAACATGTTCTCTGGGGTTTCGCTGTTGCGGGGTGTGATTATGCTGATCTGTCTGGAGTGAAACAAAAACAAAAATTTCCCAGCCTTTGCTGCCTGAGGAAACATAAAAGGGTAGCAGGCAACAATACTGAGTATTAATTCTGTTATTTATAGCTACGAGCTGTACTGAGGACAAGGCTAGATGAGCTGACCGGGCCAGTCTCGCACACAGCTTACTCCTGCCGAAAAGGACAGTGCTGCTCTCTCCTGCCCTCTCCGAGGCGCAGCCGCCTGATCCTGCTCCTCTCCTTCTGCCTGGGCCTGACCTGACACCTCCCCGAGACACTTCCAGATTGCTAAAGTGGTCAAAAAATATTCCCTTTGCTCTGTGTTACTTTCTGTCCACTCGGTGAGCTGAATCAGCTCCCCGCAGGGCCAGGTGAGCACGAGACCTGGAGCGGATGAGGCTGCAGGAATACGCACCCGGAGAGGGAGCCGCACTAATCCTCTCAGCGGCTGCACATCATTGGGTTGGCTCAGCGTATCTGTTAGACTTGTACCTCTGGGACCACCGCTTCTGCTATTGCCAACGTGGTTAAAGCCACAAGTGAGAACAAAGCTTAAACCTAAAAAATGGACAATCAAAATAAAGAGAAACCAAAGCCGAAGTGTGCCCACATACTTCTGCGAAAGATGGAGAGGAGAAACTGGGATATAGCAAGCACATGATGAGAAGCAGCAATATTTGATGAACTTGTCTATCAATTAGTAGAAATAGAGGATCAAATAAATTCTTCCAAGCATTATGTTTTGGGCCAATATTCAGAAAGAAAGCTGAGCTGGATAGAAAGCATCCAAATACAAAACACAAAATACAATACCATACAACACAAGCAGAGGAAGCATAACCAGTGTGTAAACTGGTGTATGACTCTGCCTGCAGTGTGCCATATGTGAGCTAATAACTAAAGATAGTTATTAATAATAATGATATGAAGAGTCTGTTGGCAGGACTTCTAACCCACTATTCATTAAATAGTGGTGTTTAAACTTTTCTTTTTATCATATATATCTGTTCATATGACTGTGCCTATTCTGTTTCTTGTATTTGTAAGCTGCATTTTTTTAAAAAGGCAAATGTTATTTTGAAAATTATCTATACCAGCTCTAATACAACTGAGTGTTTAAATGATTCAAATATTTAAGTCCTGCTTTCAGGACCAGATTTCTGAGGATGGTCTTCAGTGGGACTCTCCTTTTAAAATGTGGGGATCCTCAGAAATACTTCAGAGTTGAAATGAATGGCCGGCAGGCATTTAAATGGGATATTTTTGGATCTGGCTGAAGTGCCTAGGGAATTGCTTTCATCCAAAAGTTACGCTGTTTAAACCATGCCATAATAAGTGCTGTTGTACAGGCTTATTCCTACAGGAGAAGAAAAATAAGTTGCAACAACCTAAAGCACTTTTACCCAGATGCATATGTCTCGGTCATGGCTCCCCTCTGTGCTGCACACCGGAGGGGCACTTTATTTCCTGAGGCATCTGCGTATCTTCAGGCACGGGTGCGTGGTGTGTGGTGTACGGTGTGTGGTGTACGGTATGGGGTGCGCGGTGTGTGGTGTACGGTGTACGGTATGGGGTGTGCGGTGTGGGAAGGGGACTGTCGCCACCTCCCGGGCACAGGCGCCTGCAGCTGAGGACAGAAGGCCCCACGCTGGGGTTTACTCGTCACTTCTGGTCTAGAGGGGGCTGATGCTAAGAGACAGAGAAAGAGTACAGCCATTTGGATTTCATTTCATCTTCAGGGGGTGAAAATGTTTTCGGTGAGAGGCTCTCACAGCTGTTGTGGGCATGGACTGAGAAAACACTGTCCTGCTTCTGCCTCGGGATGCTGAAAGGTGGAGGTATCTCAGATATCGAGACTCAGCCCCGTGCTCTTAAATATCTGAGCTGCCTTAGGAGGGAACAAGCCACGGAGAAAGTCACTGAGGACTCCTATCATGGGAGGTTATTGCTGACCCGGAGCTGCGGGCTGGCGGCTCTGTGCTCAGGCTGGCCCTTCAAGGCTGCTGGCCAGACCCACCGAGGGGAACAGCAAGCCCTGAGCTGCTGCTGAGACACTTGTGAGAAAGGGTAAGGCCCTGCACCGGAGGGAGAGGCAGCCCTGAGGCAGGGAAGTTAGCAACGCACCCTGGAAAGAAGTGGAAGGAGGTGAGGAGAGGCAACCAGAGCCTGTGCACGGCTGCAGAGCTGCAGGAATCTAATTAACTCGGCTCCCTCCTCCTGCTAATGAGGAGTGCCCCTGAGCCAGCTCACTGACCTCCGGGCTGTTTCCAGCGCATCTCTCTTCTGCCGGGAGCCCTTGTGCCTGTCCCCATAATCCCTCCCCTGCGCGAGGGGTGGCGAGGAGGCTGGAAAAGCCTTCCTTCTCAGGGGGCTTCTGGGCGCAGCTTGTGCTGCCCGAAACGCTCGGAAGGGAAAACGCACCACGATGCTGCAGAGACACGTCTGTCCCTCTCCGACGCGTGGCGCAGTAGGGCCCCACGCGCTGCTCGCTGTCACAGCTTTTATTGACGGGCACCTGTTAAATGCAAACTTGTGGGCGTTTTAACTTCCATAGCAGGGGAAGTGACCTGCTAGAAAGTGACCGCAGGAGCCCTTGGCTCCTCGTCGCCACTGGAAGAAATGCCTGGGATGCTGCACTTCTCCTTGCAGAGGAAAGACCCTGCCAGGGCTCCTCGCTGGCCCGTCCCTGCCGTGGGGGTTTGCACCTAAGAGCAGGAAGCAGCAGAGGGTTTGGTCAGTATCGCTGTGCCCTGGCATCTGAGCCCCACCGAGGACTGGCAGGTCCCACCAGAAGTGCTGGTGGCACGGCCCAGTGGCTACAGCACTAGCCTGAAGACCTGGGCCTCAGGAGCTCGCCTGCTGAAGTAAGGGATGGGATTTAGCCTCCCCGTCCTTACAGTACATATTTCTTTAAGGATGCATAGGTTTCTGAGTCCCACTGCAATCCCTTAAAATGCTTGCCAGAAAAGTAATGCTTTGAATAGGAATGTGCGAGGCACGTCTGCTGTGTGATCCTGGGGAAATCATTTCACCTTTTGGTACCTCAGTTTCGTGATATAAATAACGGGGGTAATGTTGCTAATGCCATTTGAGGGCTGCAAAAATGAAAGATTCTGTATCATTGCGATCCCAGAAAAGCAAAGTCATATATAACACTGATAGCAGTCGTATATAACACTGGTTTTGTGGTGTCCTTGAACATTTTTGTGCACGTGCATTTGTGCGTGTGTGGGTGCCTGTCTCTGCAATGCAAAACAAGACACAATATGAACTCATTTTAAAACCCACCATCCCAGTCCTTGGGCTCCCAGTACTTACGTCTCTGTAATTACAGAATGACACAATAAAACGTGGAAGAACAGAAACTTGCAAATCAGATGCGCAGAAGTGAATTCTTTCAGTCAGTTCTGCTGACACGGGAAAACGCGAGAGGAAGGCCGAGCCTCCGAACGCAGGCATCAGCAGAACTGAAAGAATATATGAAGAATTGCCTTGGACATAACCCCACTTAACTCGCATTTCATGCACTGGGACGCGTTCCAAAATTATCTCGCCCACTTTCTCCATCGCAAAACCTAGGAATGTTTGCCTCCTGGTCTGAAGCGAGAGAGATCCCAAGCCCTGAGTCTAATCCCCAGGTGTGAGCTCAGACTGAGCTGGAGAAGAGCCTCCTGTCTCCAAATGTAAGCAGCTGTGGTTAATAACCAAACCCATCGTGATACCTGCATTACAACTAAGCTTGTACTACTATAGATGGACACAGTAAATGAGGAAAACTGAAAGAAATATGGAAAAAACCACTATTTTAGTCATTGAGGCAAGGGTTCTGTAGAAACTTAGTTTATATTATGATCTGCGGGCATAGGGAGAAGTAAATTAACATCCTTCAGTCTGAATATCTTCTGACTTATAAGTGCTTGCAATGTTCAGGTCTGTTAACATCATGTTTTATGTGGGAGCTGGAGGTATGCAGCTATATAAGATTGGTAAAATATTTAAGTGAGTTGAAAGAAAAGACAGAAGACTATCAGGAAACTGTAGGGAGTTGGTATGATCCCATTACACATCATTTATGAGGCCAGTATTGAATATGGTGTGTAATCCTGGTGGTTTATGTTTTAAAAAAAGAGATTGGAAGATTAGAAAAGAGGCATGCGAGTGATTTAAGAGCTGAGAAATGCAACATAACTCCACTTGTGTCATCGTGTAGTCCAAGAAGAGGCTGAAGCCCACATATATGGGGGACATTTCTGATAGCATAGCAGAAGCTTTTAATAAAAAAGGCAAAAGGGGATTGAGGAAGTAGCAGATAAAGCTGGAGGTATTTAGACAACAAGGGGAATGGAACCATGTTCCCACCATGGAAATTAAGTATTGAAACAAACTTTGTCAGAATGGGATGGATATCCGGTCACTCCACGTCCTTAAATGAAGCTGAGTATTTTCCTATGAGATGTGCTGTACCTTAAATACAGCTTATGGTTAAGTTAACAGGTGAAAGTCTCCTGGTGCGCAGGTGTTGTGCAGGTGAGAATAAATGATGGGCATGTTCCCACCAGCCTAGAAACCTGTAAATCTGTGAGAATCTCATTTCTCCCATTTGTGGGATGTATTATGTCCGCTTTCATGGGTGGGGGGACAGATAATGCAGACGTAGTTTGCCTTAGGGCCAGAAAGAGGCCAGCGTCAGAGCCAGAACTCTTTAGCAGCTCTTAGCCCCTGAACGTGTGGGTTGACTTTTCTCCCTCCAGACTAGGAGCAGGTCAAAGGATATGGGTTAAAAATGCTTCTGAACTCCCTGAACCTCTACAAAATTGCAGAGAGCCCCGGTATTTCCTAACATGTATCGTAATCTCTGTACGGGGAGCTTCAGGCTGACACAGGGACAACACTGAAGTGTCCTCATGGCACTCGCTACTGACTTTAACATGGAGCAGGCAAAGGGAAAAGTCAGTTTAGCTTTTCTGACTCCCAGAAAGCAGCCAGGTGAGTGTTTGAGAAACAGAGAAGAGTTAGCCCTTTTTCTGCCCAAAGGGTTGGCCATCTCTGGAACAGAGGTAATACATGGCAGCACTGAACAACAGCACTTTCTTGTCCTTACGAGGGCATCACATAATATACCAGGAAAGATAAGCGGGGTATTAGAGCTACTGTTTCTCTTCTTCAGCTCTGTGTTGTTATTACTGCCGTTTCTCCCTTCCAAACCATCTCTGCCCTCTATGTATTTCATCCACTTAATATGTCCTCGCTGGCCATCACAACTGTCTGTCCGGAAACAGTTTTTTCTGTAATACACATAATTCTAATCATTGGAGCAAATAGATATCTAAGAATATTGGTAAAGCTGTACTCTGTTCCTGAGCAGTCCTATGTTAGCTACATTAATTTCACTAAAAAGTGCCCCAAAGGGGTAGTTAATATGAAATGGAGAGGGAACAGCCCCATTCCAGCCCTGCTGTCCTCTCTCTCTCTCTTAAATCAGGTCTCCTCTGCTTTGAATTGGGGCAGCTTAGGTAGACAGCCTTCTGCTAAAATATGTTATATTCGAGGAAGCTCGGGAACCCATTTTCCACGGTCTTCCATCCATTTGCATCCACAAGCTGAGGTTGGAGGCCAAGAGTGTATGTAATGGAGAGACCATTATTGCTATATAGCAACCATATCTGCACATGGCAAGGCCATTTCCTGCTGGAAGAAGCCGAGATATCTCTCGACTCAACGTCACCGGCTTTCCAGCCCCTAAAACCCAAATCCAGTACTTCTTTGTCAGCAGTGACAACGTTTTATAAGCTGTAAAACCTCAAAATATTTGCACAGCGATAGAGTTGGCTTTAGTGGGGCTCTCATATCCTCAGGCACCTTCAAAAATGCTCTGTGTCTTAGGGAGCACTTGTTGCTGGAGTACCAAAAAGCTCCAAAGTCTGTTGGCTCTCGACAGCAGTGGGGAGGACTAAATGTAGGTCCTGCTTCACTTTCTGATCTTAACGAGCCTGCAGGCTGGGCTGGGACACCGAGAGGGTAGCCGCAAAGTAGGGAGCAAAGATGCAGTCCTTCAGGAGGATGGGCATTTCCCCGGGCAGGGAGAGCACCCACGGGGTGCCTGCCTACGGGCGCAGCAGCGGGAGTCGTGCTGTCGGGCTGTCAGCAAATGAAGTTATTGGTGATAGAAAGACTGAAGCAGTATGAGTCAAAGATAATAGTAAGTTTGATGATGACCTGCTTTTCTGAACATGCGGGAACAGTGCGGGAGATTTTTCCATTAGTTTCGGAAGAAGATTTATAGCATAAGCTCACCTTTCCCTTTGAATGAGACATAAACTGCCTGAACTCAAACCCATTAATTTTTTTTTCTTAGTAGCTTATTCTTTTGTTTTAACTAGGGCTCTAGCCTTGCACTTTTGTATTGCCATTTTATGTGAGTAGATGGGATAAAAAATTAGACCCACGGCATATGGCTAGCTGCAACGTTTGTCAAAACATACAAAGCAGCTTTGACCTCTCTGCAGTCTTTTCTTTCCTCTGGGCTATAATTCTAATAAATAATTTTGGCTGTAGCTGAGAAAATAATATATTTTTCTGCTTCATGAATATTTGCTCTCTTCTTTTCTACCATGAGGGGTTTAGAAATAATGGAGTGAATTTACAGCAGGGCATTCCCTATTTCCCAGGTACAAATCAAAGTAAGTACGCATCCAGCTACCTGTCTGTCTGTATAAATCAAGTAGATTACAAGCACAACTGGTCAATTAATTCCACAAGGTACAAGATAGGTGCACAGAGCTTATGCATTACTCCTCTGAATAAACCCTCGCACGCGCCTCAGCTTGGACCGGTGGGAGCAGTAAGTTCGTTACAGTGGGTTTGCCTGGCTTTCGTAAAATTGCCAAGATTACCCACCTGAACTGCAACAGAGGTGACTAAACCGAAAGCAATTCCAGAAAATAACACTCAACCAGCTTTGTGTTCAGCCCGCCCGCCGGGGGAGCGTTTCCCTGGCATCTCTGCGGCCGGCGGCTGCCTGCGGCCTTGAGACCAGACAATTGTACCCACAGGTTTCACTTGCCGGTCACTTCGTCTTGCCTAACTGCTCTACTTTAAGCTCAAATACTTCAGATTACAGAAGCTGAAGTGTGCTCCGCAGATAGGGAAAAAAGCCATGCTCAGACATCACCAATGCCCAGGCAAGTGTGGGGAACGGATTACGCTTATCAGTAGATCCCACATCCTGATACAGCTGATGGAGACAGGCAGGAAAGCCCCAGCTCTGGGGTTAGTGCTACCCTGGAAGCATAAGCTACGCGAGGCAGGTGCCGGAGGAGATCTCCACGCCACCTCATCGCTGTCTCATACCGCTCAGGAGCCCATCTGTTCCCCCGGTCGGTCGCTGATGTTTTGGAGCACGGTCACAAAGTACCCAAAATCCAAGTTATGAATGTGAGGTGACAGGGGCAGGGATCAGTGGCACTTCAGGGCAGAAGCTTTTGGTATTGAAGACATGCAACTACCTGCGTTTGTGAATTTGGTATTTGAGCCTAGGACAGGTGTCTCTCACTGCCCATTTGCTAATGTGCTCATCGCTGCAGCACCTGAACACGCTAGAAGCAGAAAAGATCTGCGCAGAGGCATCCTCCGCAGTCCCTGGGGAGTGCCCTCTGTCCTAGAGGGTCTATAAATCCCTGCTTAGGTATTAAAATACCATCAGTTACAACACCAAAGCTTTTCGTTAGCCAGGCAGCCACATCTTGAAGATTATAAACTCACATCAAAAAGAAAGTAAAAAATGCATATTCTGCCAAGCCCAAAGCCTCCTCTGCTTGGCCCAGATTCTGACTTAATTGTGTGGGGTTTATTAGGAGAGAGCTAGATCTGACTGAGAGTGAATCGTATGAATGAAGGTCACCAGCCCTCTCCTTAAGTAATGTAAAAAACAAATCCATGGTACTGATGAGTCCTTATTGAAAGGAAATAACCAGATTTTTGACGTGTTTCTATTGACAGCAGTTCTGCTGACAGTCTGCTGCATGAGGAGGAAGAAAAAGACATCTAACCCAGAAAACAACCTGAGCTACTGGAATAATGCTATTACCATGGACTACTTCAACAGGCATGCTGTAGAGTTACCGAGAGAGATCCAGTCCCTGGAGACTTCAGAGGTACCTCACTTGCAGAACTAGTGTCTGAAAACTGTAACTGAAGCCATGCTGGGAGAACGGGAGAGGAAGCCATATTGACAAAGCCTTGAAATCCCTATGCATATTCAGGGAAACAGCTTTTGGAGAAGGACTCACCCTTAGACATGTGTAAGGTGGGATAAATATGTCACCAAAACCGGATTGCCATCCTATTCCCAGCCATTGCAGTTCCATATTGCTGGGTGGTCACGGGAGTTAACCGCCTCTAGGTGAATTTGTTCCCAGGTTTCTCTTCCTTTTGAGCCTATGGCCAATGTCTAGCCATACCATGACTGCTTAGGAGAGCGCTTTGGGCTGGCTTGTTACTGACAGTCGGTCCTTCTAATCTGTCTGTTGTGCATGTCCCACACAGCGTCGGATAAGGGGGGGTAGTGGGAGTTAATAACGCAAAGAAATTTTGTGCATTTATGTCTCAGGAGTTGCCTATACCTTCTCAAATAACCGGTTCAGGGAGTGAGTGTTCCCAGTATATAAGCAATCAAAACATCAATATATGACAGTGTGTAGTGGTGGTGTATACTCATCAGCCTTTACTTAAGGGATCTGACTGGTTCAGTGGGATTATTCATATATGGGCAGGTGATCCTACAGATGGAAACATATTCCCTGGCCTCAGAGACAGACAAGAATAATTTAGCTCAGTTCAAAGGTATTTAAAACCTAGAAACAGTAGAGAATTTGGGTTTATGCTAAAGTGATTTTCAGATCAGCTAGCTGACTAACTCATCTCATTAAATTAAAAAAAAATGTGTTTAGAAAGGAACCTCTGAGATGACTGGACAAGCACTCACAGTCACTTCATAACCCCACTTTGCTGGCAATCATGTTGCTCAAGCAAAGGCAGGACCTGGTCTAGACTTACGAAGAATTGCATGATATCCTATTCACACATAGGATGATCTCCAAAAGCTGTCATCTGAGTCTTTTAAACCTGATCAGAACATGACTGAACTGCGGCATGCTCGGGTAGCTTGGAACCATATATGTGGTTTTCTGACTTTAAAAAAAAGCTGAAAATGCATCTTTGAGCAGTCAAGCCCAGCTGGTAGACAGGAAACTATTGCAATGTGTCATGAAAGTGCAAAAAAAAAAAAAGAATGTGAAAGTTCATATTCTGCTAAGGGTATTGAACTTTGGTGCATCCGACTTCTGGGTCCCCAGACTGAGAAGGAATCAGCCTGACTATCAGAGGAGCTCTTTACTCACGGCTCCTACTGCCTGAAGAAGAGCAAAACGGGCTCACCAAACTTAGCCAGAGCCCCCAAAATTCAGGCACTTTTGGAGGATTGGGAGAAGCGATAAAAATAACAGTCCATTTCTCACCTGCATTCGCACAGGGCAGCGAAGTGCCCTGCGTGCTCACGGAGAGGGAGGGGTGTGAAGTGCTCACCCTG